CATGTAAATATGTTAGCAATTAAATTGGTGACTTGCCTAACTGTGTCTGTCTAACCAGTCTACGTTGAACTTAAAATCCTGTCTGAGCGCAGTTATGCTTATGTATGCTTAAGTTACACTTCCCTTAAAAATGGGACAATTGGTGCGCCTACCAAGTAACATATAATGTTTTTATCATTTGCGGAATATCCATATTTCCACGTAATGTTACTATTCATCACATTAGTAATGGTCTAAAGCTACGGCCAATAGAGGATAATTCCCGATTGGAACTAGCCACTGAACTTGTATTCACTTGACAACCACACTACAATTAAGCTTACTTGTTTCACAGTGGGTTCCATTAAAACCGTTTGGGCACAAGCAATCGTAGTGTCCAGTTTTGTCCACACACGTTCCCCCATTCTGACAGGGATAGCTGATGCACTCGTTGATGTCTGTAATGAAAAACAACAAAATTAGCAATTAAATGACGTACACGGTAACCATAAAAAGCTACATTAGAAAAATGTCATTTCAAAGTTACTTTCTAAAACGCATTACTATGAAGCTGTGAAATTGTGCATCTTGAGTATTATTTATCCAGTAATTGTACAAACCTGAGTGCACTTCCGACATCTGAAGATGCTGGCAATTAATTGGTAACATGCATGATGACGTGTTTTTTTCCAGTCTAACTAGTCTATGTTGAACTTAAAATCGTGTCTGAACGCAGTTTTGCTTACGTTTACCTGTTTCACAGTTATTTCCCGTAAATCCAGTTGGACACGAACAATTGTAGCGCCCGGCTGCGTTTATACACGTTCCACCATTCTGACATGGGTTGCTTAAACACTCGTTAACGTCTAGGATGTGGTAAATTTTGTATATGTGAACAGGACAAGAGCAGAGCAATGTAATATTCAATTAATTTTTTAAAAAATCTTTAAAAATATATTTTTAATCTCTCAAAATATGTCATACATTAATTCTTAGATAATTAGTGCGAGTACTGAGTCACATACAAGGTATTTACCTTCTGCAGAATGTATGTTTACAACTGAATTAAAACTGAGGATCACTTAAAAACTTTATTGTGAATGCAGGAAAACGATATTTCAAGTATATTATGTCTCTATTCATCATAGCTATATGGTACGTTGCAAATTCGGTCATTAAAAGAGAATTCCCGTTTGGAACAAGCCATTGAAGTTGCGTTCACTCGGCAACCAGACTAGATTTAAGCTTACCTATTTCACATTTGGTTCCATTAAAACCGGTTGGGCACAAGCAATTGTAGTATCCAGTTTTGTCAACACACGTTCCCCCATTCTGGCAAGGATTGCTGATACACTCGTTGATGTCTGAAATAAAGCAATCGCATTAGCATTTAAATGACTTAACCACAATAACTACATTTCAGACATTAGCTACATTTCTGTTTAAATCATTAACGTCATAAAAATACATTTCAAAGTTACTCTACAGAATGCATTACGACGAAGCCGTGAAATTCTACATCTTTAGGATAGTTGACTTTAAAATCGTGTCTGACCGCAGTTTTGCTAACGTTTACCTGTTTCACAGTTGTCTCCCGTAAATCCAGTTGAACACGAACAATTGTAGTGCCCGACTGTGTTTATACACGTTCCACCGTTCTGACATGGGTTGATTAAACACTCGTTAACGTCTGGAACGTGGTAAATTTTGTATTTGTGAACAGGAAAGAGCCAGAGTTAAGAAATATTCAATTTCCTATTTCTCTTTCAAAATATGTCAACCCAAAAAGGACAGCAGCCAAAATAAATTAAAAGACACATCGCCTCGTAACTAATTAACAAAAAATGACATTATTGGTGTGCCTACAAAGTAACGTATTAGGTACTAAACTTTTGCAGATTGTGCATTCATATAGAATCTATATACATGTAGTAACTTCGGGATATCCATATTTCCACGTAATGTTACTATTCATCATAGTTGAAATGGTTTAAAGCTGCAGCCATCAGAGGAGAATTCCCGATTGCAAGCAGTCTTTGGAGTTGTATTCATGATCACTTGGGAGCCAGACTGGATTTAAGATTACCTGTTTCACAGTGTGTTCCGTTAAAACTGGTCTGGCACAAGCAATCGTAGTATCCAGTTTTGTCCACACACGTTCCCCCATTCTGGCAGGGGTTGCTGATACACTCGTTGATATCTGAGATGAAAGGAATCGAATAATCAATCAAAGGACTTGGTGTAGGTCTTGAAGAATATGACTGTCAAGGCACGCGAAGTCGCTATACATGTAGGTATCTTGAATTTTCACGCCAATTTAAGTATTCCTAGAGGAAAAAGCTATTTTATCACGAGTCATTGTTCGGACTTCTCTTGCACTTGGATTGGATGTGTGTCGTCGTTTTTTTAAATATTGTAATTCTTAAATGTATGTCCAGACATTGCAATGCCATAGGTTCAGTCGGAAATATCAACCTCAGATACTTCTATTTGAGGTCTTTCTCCTTTTAAAATTGGGGAAAACTATTAGCTTTGCAGAATATTTTGACATAACAGTATGACCTTGGGACATGTTTAAAGTCATACAGTATATATACTTTTAAATGTACCGTATGTAGTCGTATAGTATACCTTAAAATATACGGGATTAATTCCCCAAAATAAATATTCCTCGGGGGAAAAAAGCAATTTTCTCTTACAAAAGAATCATTTCTCAATCCGTCCCTGCACTTATATTTGTTTTTTTTTTTAATTAAATTACATAATTCTAAATGACTGGCCAATCATCTAGAACGCCATGCATATTTCAGAATGATTTATCGACATTGATGCTTTGATTTGCGGGCGGGTGTTTATAGTTTTAACGCCTGATATGGGAAAGGTAAGTAGCTTGGCAAAACATATATATACATAAAAAGGCGAATTTTTGGAAAAAATAGTTCTTCCGAAAAGCCTGTATTTTTGTATTGATTGGGTCTTACTTCACATATTTTTTCCGGAAATAAATATTAAAAATAGTAGTTTAGGCGCCCCGATGGGTCTTCAGGGACAAACAAATTGTGAACAGGTCGAGTTTTGATTTGTAACTTCGTCTACACCTATATGTTTATCAATACCTATTTCACATCTTGTACCAGTAGTTCCAACAGCACAGGTGCACTCAAACCTATTGTACATATTATTACATGCTCCCCCATTCTGACACGGGTTGCTTACACATTCGTCATCATCTGAAAGAAATACAATATTTACTAATAAAACGTCCAACTTTATACGCAAAGGAAAGAGCTAAACATGCATAAAAAATAATAACTTACTTAAAGATTAAAAACAATATTATCTTAATCAATTTATCGAAAATATTAATGTGTGGGGTAACCGTCTCTTTGTAAAACTGGGTCAATATAAAAGTATTTCTGATTCACGGTTTCACTGTTTCCAAAAAGAATGTGCAATTGCGGAAACCAAACGATTAAATTTTGATTGAAAAAAAATATCTGAGTTTTTCTCCTATGTGAACGTACCATTTGCCCTTAATGAAATGCATTTTGATGGACTAGGTCGTCTGGCTGAATCGACTGCTTCACAGCACAAGATGCTCTCGCCAGTCTGGTCGCTAGATGGCGTCCACGTCACGTTAAGGTACTTGACCGCTGCTCTACCAAGGTCGTCTGGTGCCATAGAGCTTTTTAGCAAGCCAGCAGGAGAGACCAGATTGATACTGGTTATACTGAAGATAACAAATGCTTTAAAAACCGCGCCAAATAAAACTGACATCGAAGATAAATAACTAACATAAAATTGCGCAGAGCGCTGTAATAGATATTGACTTACAGGTAACTACCAAACAACTATCACATACAAATTATAATATGAGATAGTTTTGTGGAACTCTGACGGTTTTGAATAGGATTTCCAGAAAAATTAAAATATAACAATAAAACTTGTAAAAAAATGAAGGTCTAACGCACGTTGCTTGTCATTTAGCTTAATCGGACCTATGATTCCCGGATATAAAATCACAAGATAATAAAAGTATATATGTACCATAAAGTATATCAGCGTAGTGCACTTTCGTTTGTAGGATAAAGAAATATTTTATACTTCAAAGGGATAAAACCTCAGATCATAACGCATTTGCTTACGGGGAAGAAATAAGCTTGGTCTCGGCATATACTTTTCCATTGAAAGTCTCATTCCGAGCGATAGAAACAGTTTCATTGGAGTCAACACCACACTGCAGAATTGACGGGGCAGCAGAACAGTCACCAAGGTCAGGAGTCGTAATAAGAAACTAGAAAATTATATATAAAAACAGCAGAGTTCGATTATCAAAATAGCTCATCTAAAATTGACCTCACTAACACCACCGCTACTGGTGTAATAGTTCACAGACATAAATGTCTCTCTGTTATAGCTTATCAGAACAGTGCCTATAGAACCTTATTCCATATCTGACTGATTTCTGAGCAAAGCAAACCCAAAACATTTTTATTTACTATGTGGGCCAACATGGAACGTCTGGCAGATAAAATGCCTTATAGGCCAAGAGCTAAACTTTACCTGTAAAGGAATGGAGCTCATTCTGTCTGAAGATGTTTTGTTGACACCTCCCTGTTCAATTGTCGTCTGCGGAAAGTCCTCGACTGTCAGCGCCACTGCATACCAACCTCCGTTTCTGTACCCGTTCGTCGTGGAGACCAAGGGGATTGTAAGGATGCATGTCTCCTGGAAAACGGAAGGAATAAACATGAGCAAACGAACATATACAAAGAATATACCTACATCAGGTGTCGTTGAAATCGGTTCCCTGAGTGGAACATGAGGTTCGTACGGAGGCATGTCACTTGAGAATCAAGGTTAGATTGCCACAGATAAAATTTCCAAACAGGTATCTTCAATCATCAAGATAGGTATACGACAAGCTGTCAAGAATGTACCCTTGTGAAAGCTAAATAACAATTAGGCAATTGCCATGTATCCTAAGCACATGTAATCCGGTGACGAAGGGTTGACGTCACTGGGCGACTCAGGAGACCCTGTGATGGTCTAAAACACGTTAAAAGCAATCTGATCGTTTTTTCTTTTAAAAGAAGGTTTATGTATAAGACACGGAGGCAAAGCGCATGGAAAATTAAATGCTCTCCGTGAAATACATAAGGACATTACAAATTATACACACACACATATATATATACAGAAGTAATAAAAATGGAAAAGAAAAGAAAGAATAAAGGAAATAAAGAATAAAGAAAGAAAAACTATAACAAATGAGAATGATGCTGATTAACAATTAAGCAGAATGGTGAAATAAATCAGATTAAATAAATCAGTAATATTATTTTCACACGAAATACATTGTTACCGGTGTTACTGAGCCCTGCTGTGAACACGAATTCTAACGTGTAACAGTATTCCGTATGATATTATTACCCACATTTTATTTTGCAATTAGAACGCAATAGACGTACCTCATCTAACACGGCGTTCGGTAACGAGTGACAAATGCTGGCACACTCGTTGGTACCAGTTGCCCAGCGACAGCGGACCGCGTCCCCGTCTGGATCTTGCACAGGGATCTGGAGCTGAAATTTGCAGCCGAACATGGCCCTGAAAGTCGGGCACAATTATATATTCGAGTATAGAGTGAAAATAACATACATCCCGTGTCTATGTATGTTAACACACAAGCGGCAACTGATAAATGTATTTCCTATAAGACACGCCTGATTATAGAATAATTGCATACAAGATCTAGGACTCTCAGATAGATAGAGAGAGAACCAGGGGAGATCGTCAGAGACTGGCCTACCTGGGTTCCAGACCATATAATAAGAAGTGAAGAAACCACTTGCTTACAAAGGTCATTACTTCAGAATATATTTCCGAATATTTAGTTTTAACAGGTGACTGATACGAATTTACAAGGGCTTGCGGGGAAAAAAACAAACAAACAAACAATCATGCTGGTTTGAAATCCATTTTAACTTCAAGGGATGCAAAATATATAAAAACTAGAAAAGCACTCAGAGATCGCAGACCTCCGCCAAGGCAGCAAAGTCTCCATCCAATGCCGTTTCACCCCCAAATTTTCGATATTTTTGATTATTGATTATTGATTGATTTTTTGATCCGGATCACCACCAAAAACTAATCATCTGTTCCTTGGCCCACTTCTGACAGTTCCTGAAAATTTCATCAAAATCGGTCCATAACTTTTTGAGTTATGTTGATGACAGACAAACAAACAAACAGGGGTGAAAACATAACCTCCTTGGCGGAGGTAACTACAAACTGAGTCCACAGGTCGTACCTCTAAGGTCAGGTAGCTGAGTAATTTACTCACTGTGTGCGTGGGACCGAGCATACAGCCAATGCCTTTATTTTGGGCATTGCTGTCTACTTACCTATAAATGCCTTTACTTGCAGTTACAGGGCTGTTGTTCGGATGGTCGGTGTCACTTCTGTTGCCAAGGTTGACTACGGTTTGCACTCGCCAATTCCCTCCGCTACCATGATCTAAACTTCGCCATGCGCTACCAGTGAATCTAAATACAGTGTATAACCAACTGTAAAACTCAGTCGAACGTTTCGATACCAAGTTAGTTATGGCATGATGAGTGTTTTCTTCGGTAATAATAGAAATAGTTTAATTTTAAATCGTCCCTTGTTAATGTTGCAACACCTATTCAACTTATTCAGTCTGATACCCTAAATCTCATGCTTCCATTAACATACTGGTATAAAGAAGGATATGCACATAAATCTATTGACCCTCTCCTATACCATCTATCATATGCCAGTATTCTGTATATGGTAGGGTCTACTGGCCATAATAAAAGAGTATACATTTACTTTAACCATCAAAATGCATTGCTTTCTTCTCTGCAGACAGATTGCCGCTTACCCCACCACGTACTCTCCCTGGTTAGGAAATGTATAGGAGAAACCATCAGCTCCTTGCTCCCAGTTTTCTTGAACACTAATGTCAGTGACAACGTATTGATGGTCGGCTAAATTCAGACTGGATCCACAGCCGGACAAACAGCTCCATTGGCCTAAGCTAGATCTTCCCAGCGTTCCAATATGTGCTTCATTACACCCTGTGTCACAAGGACCATTCCCCAGCGTCCAGGCAGACTGCCATTGAAAGTTAACCTGGACACGAAATGAGGAAGAATGGTTGAAATTTATAAGAACAAGAAATATGGTGAAAACGAGATTTTGGTGCGAAGAATCTCAATGTACCTGTAACGTATGGCTTCTTTTCCGTTACAAAAGTTTTAATAAAAATGGATAAATAGAAAAGAAAAAAACGAACTAATAAAATTGAACTACAATAAGTAAAAGGATAAGAACAAGAAAAATATGAACAGATAGAAAGGGCATGAACATATAATTAAAAAAAGCGAAATGATCAAATACGTGTAAAATTGATGACGCAGGGGCCAGTTTCTTTCTACACAGTTCGGATAATCTCGTTGAGTTGAATTCTCCATTACAACAAGGCCATTCATGCAACACACACGTGTACGATGAAGACTCATTCGTGCTATAAACTTTTGTTGTGACTTTTTATTGGGTTGAAATTAAAAATATTTGATTGATGTAAAGAAGTGACTTACCTTGCTGTATTCAGCAAGGGACGGCTTCCAACTTATTGTTGATCCACAAAAGTGGCTGCCTTAAAATATTATATGTTTAACAGTTAATTCTTCCGTAAATGAAAATTGAGGCTAATTTGTCAACAGAAATATTTATTTTGTGACGGATTCATATAATAATAATAATAATAATACATATAATAATAATAATAATAACAGATAAGAAGCTGAGTCACAATCGACTGGATATGACTCTAGTGCGGAAAGATACACAGGAATGGACATTTATTGATGTAGCTCTACCAGCAGACCAAAATATCATCAAGACCAAGGAAGAGAAAGCGGACAGTTTTCACGACCTAGCGTTTGAAATTAAGAGAATTCTCAGAGCATCGAAAGTGTCAGTGATACCAATTTTAATTGGGGCAATTGGACTCTATCTCAAGAACGCAAAGACCTGGTTTGAAATGTAAGGCATGCCGACATTGTTGGAAATGCATAATTGCCGGTCTTACTTGGAAGAGCTCACATACAGTATTGCGAAACATGTTTTTGCGGGAAGCAGCTAATACATGTATACAGAAAAAACCAAAAGATCATCTGAGAGCTGGAGATATTCAAATAATAATAATAATAATAATAATAATAATAATAATTATTATTATTATAATGTCACTTCAGGTTGCGACAAGACTTTCCCTCTGAACAAAATAGAGATAAAATACTCTTCTAGGAGACGCCTTGATATCAAGATATTCAACACGTTTCAAATTGGGGGTCAGTTTAGATAGCCAATACCTAAAATCTCCCTCCTTTTTTTCAAATACCCTGTGTTGATATTCTTAGAAAGTATGTTTGTAACTAATCAGATTACAAGAAATTTTAGAAAATCCTAGGAAATTTGTTTATTTTATTTGTATTTTTTTGTTGGTGGTTGTTATATCCAGTATACGCCGTCTTAAAAAAATCCCAGAATAACCAAGCACAAATAATTTTGACATGTAATGGAGGGACCTTTGATTTGATGGTCGTCTCATTTCACTGATATTTCCTTGTAAGGATAAGTAAAATTTTGTCAACAGTTATATCTGAAGAATTTCTACCTACCAAAATCATGGCTACAGCCTTGAAATGTACCTACCCTGTACATATTCTAACAGGAAAGCACAAATAATTGCCAGTCCCAATTCTTTGAAACACATCCCAGGACGGTCCGCTTGAATATAACCAATTGACATTTAACAACATAAATTATACGCTTGGCGTTTAGTACATTGTAGAAAACGCTTTGTCACTAGAAAAATAAGCCTCGAAATGAAAAAGTAAATGCAGTCACAACTCAAGCGCGCTCTTAAAGGGCGCTTAAAGGGATAACAATGAGATCCATATTTCACAATAAATACAATGTAAACTTCTCACAAAAAATTGAAATTCTATTACATTACCAAATCGGCGGTTTTCGCAATAATTCTGGAATTGGTACTTGCCTTCAAACCACGGGATCTTCATAGACGGTTACCCGAGATCATTACAAAAAAAAAAAAAAAAATTAACCATTGTTGGTCTGGGAAAATTGTCGTTTACCTCAGGAAAAAAATTTTATTGCCAATATGAACAAGTTGTTCTCCCTTTCAGATATAAAATAAACCTTAGTTGAATCACCTGTATTGCTTGTACTGTTGACGTTGACCTGAATGTACGTGTGTAACATATTGATTTCTATTTAGTTTACCCCTCAGTTTATTTTAAGGCTACATATTCTTGTCAAGTTACCAAATATATTTCTTTTATTTCCTTAGTTTATTCTTCGTGATATTCAACTTTGTGAGAGTCAAAAGATACCTTTGTTATCGCGTTAGAGGGATGTCTATTTACCTCCCAGCCTATATAAATTTACACAACGTTAACTTATCCCCAGACTAGCTGATTAAATATTATTTCACAAAACATCTCTTGTTTCTCTCTGGTTTAGGAATATTTTATTCGTCAGTATACAAGCACTTAACCAGGTAATCGGATTCAGTAGCAAGCGTTCCAGATAGTGATGAATTCGTTACGTACCAAATTTCCCACGTACTGGTAACTTGAATCAACTCAATCTACAAAGTACCTACAGTTAAATATTCTGAGACAATGACAAACATATGTAAGCTTATATGAAGAGGATAAAAAGAAAGTACCATTAAATCGATCATTTTAAAATTTCCTTGTATTTTTCAGTCTCACGTATTCCCACTTATGAGGGGTTTTGTGTTGTTCAAGTAATGAAACAGAGTGTGGTCTTCTCTTTGACTGATTACAAATGTTTTTTTTCCAGTTTGCTTATATGTTAAGCAAACGAAGTTTTTGTACACGTATAACATCATCATAACCGCACGCAGACAGTAGGGTCATTAATCCTGGCTTGTGCCCTGAATTATATTCATTCCGTTTTAAATATACAGGTAGAACCCCAAAAATGTATATTTGTAAGTTTCCGTGCTAAAAGATGAAAAAAATCTAAACTGGCATCGGCTAAACGTTAGGATATTAAGCTGAGGTCTTTCACTAGGAACTGACCCCAAGGAGCTAATCGTAGGACTCGGTCATACGGTATGTCCAGCTCAATATTATAACGTTCATTACGTTCCAATACATTTACATCCAATCTCATTTACTTGATGTTCGTGGCACGCATACACAAATAGCCTTACAAAAGAAAAGCTGAGTGAATGTCGTTATTAGTTTATTTTCATATCTTTATAAAAGGTGTTTTTAGTAAAATGCCACACCGTTGATTTATCATCGTAATTGTGTATCGGTTTGTTCAGCTTTTATTAGATTTCGGCCTTTTGAATTTTTTCTTTTGAGTATTGCTTACATGTGACTTTCGTTCAAAGCTAGCCCATAAAGCATGTGTCACCATGCAGCCACCCATGAATAGATACTGATACTGGGAGGGGGGGGGGGGTCTGCCTGACATTTATAAGAGGGTCCTGGCCACTATACCACCTAGCGGTCAGTGAGTAACAACATCTACTCACATCTATCTGATGAAGCCATACGTCCTAAGCTCCGTAACTCGAAAGCATAGCAAATTACGACTGAACGCAAGCATGGCTATTCGTCGCTATTCCATAACTCGAAAGCATCGCAATTTGCGACCAAGCGCTGATAGCGGTATCACCTTTAATTTGAGGCTATTATTTTTGACGAGTAAATCCCGTCGCAATGGCCCTTGCATAAGCATCATTTTATAGTGTCTTTTATGTAATTAAACATGGCGGGAATTCGGGGTTGCTAGTCATAATAGCATATAACAAAGCATGAAATCTTATAAGAAATTAAGTCACTCCAAACTTCTGATAGAAAAACTTGCGGTAAATTTTAACGTGAAGAATGCTACAGTCATGCTTTTATTATGCATAAAAATTTCAAAGTTAAACATTTCATGTATCATTTTATATTTTCTGATGAACATTCATCTGTGTAGTCTATTGTTAATAATCATAAGTTTAAAAGTTTCATGAAAAAGCAGAAACAAAGCATTCGGTCACACCGTGACCTTCCTCAGTGTCTGTTATTGTGAGACCGAACACGCTATATATATATATATATATATATATATATATATATATATATATATAACACGTTATTGGGGACTCTCCGTCACGTTATACCGGTACTCACCAATGCATCAGTAATTGTTTCAGTCCAAACACGTGCGCTTCGCTTATTGAATTGTTTTTGACATTGGTGTCAAACACTTCAAATATCAGTATTTGTAATTGTGATGTTCTTATAAATCAAAACAATCTCTTGATTATAGCATCAAACTGAATTAAAATTACATTTGTGTAATTGTGTTACGACGTCTTTACTTTATGCGCCAATTAAACTCAATTTATGAAACTTATATTTAAAAGATCAATGCAGTGATTGTGATAAAGCCTCATACGACAAAATAAAAAACGTTTGAATATAACTACAGAAGAAACATAAGAGTCCACGATAACTCTCATCCACATTCTTCAACGTATATACGTGTATTCTGCACGGATTACTTTAAAATCAGGAGTCAAAAATAACTCTGACGACGTCATTGACTTTCAGGCGCGAAGAAGAAGCTCATCTGACTTAAAGGACGCGTCACCCATGTTTTTAGTGTCGTTTGCTGCGCTGTCCTCATTTTCTTCAGCGACCGTGTCCTTTGTGCTTGTTTCGTCCTCTTCAGAGACGATGTACTTCGCTCCTGGGGTTTTCTGCTCCTCTTGATGCTCGTCAAGTGGCCTTACCTTTCTACGAATATACCCACTCAATTTTAATAATCGTAAATTACAATGGTACCATTCAAATTAATATCAAGACATAATGTGAAGTGAAACGAAAATAATAAAAAAAATGTCAGGTATTTTGAAAGGATTTTTTTTGGTTAAATTAGAGACAATATATACGTGAAAAGAGCATTCATCACTATTTAGCGCTTTCAACTTCAGAGAAAAATGTATTAAATCAAAGTAATAGTTAAAATATCTAAGGCATTGAAATAAATACCTTTTCTTATTGTTACGCTTCCACAGAAAAAATATGAAACAGGGAACGAACACTAGTAACCCAAGGAATCCGAGAAATCCTAGCATTGGTGCAGGCGGATTAGCAGTACTGGCGCTTCCAGAACGCTGGCTATTTGAATTGCCTAGATTATTGGAAATGACTGGAACAGTAGAATATCAAAAGAATTAATAAAAAAATACAAAATTGTTTTTAAAAACCAATAAAAATTAACCAAAAACATTCAACAATTCATTATATATATATATAATAAATAAATATGAACTGTTTACTGTGTCATACTGACAACCACCAAAACCGGTAGTAAAGGCTCGGAAATACCGGCACGTTAAAGTGCCTCTTATTAATAATTACTGTTACCCGTTTTACTGAATATTTCTTTGATATTGTAAAGCGCAATAAACGCCAAACTGTTCGAGTGCGGGCAAAATTCAATTAATCAAAAAACTCGATATTTCTTACTGATTTCATTCTCGCATCTATGACCACTGAAATCTTCCAAGCACGTGCAACTAAAGTTTCCCGCCAAATTTTCACAGGTTGCATTGTTCTGACAAGGGCTATCGTCACATTCATCAATGTCTTCAATAGATAAATGCATTGAATGATACAGATTTAGTTGTGAAATCTCAATTTCATACAGATAAAAGTTAAAAGCCGTGTAGATTATACTGTGATCCTATTAGTATTAAAGAACCCAGTGCTTCACTGGTTATAGTTCGAACTTGATCAAATTATCAATGAATCGCACATCTCACTTATAGTGAATTATCAGGATATAATCTAAGATCGTTCTAACCATTTTCGCCTGTAGAAGTCAGCAATCACCCACATCACTCTCACTTCATGGTACATGTATCTATTAAAAATTTCTTACAATCTGACAACTTTTACACTATGATAGTCATGCCACACAGAACCTCGATATTGTCCCAGCAGTGCGTACCCGTTTCGCACATGTCTCCAGTGAAACCAATAGGACATGCGCAGTTGAAACCGTTCAGCAAGTTGTTGCATGTGCCACTGTTTCGGCAAGGGTTACTGAGGCATTCATCTACATCTGTAATAAACATTACAGTACATGAGAAAACCTACCAGCACATTAAAGTTAGATTATTTGATTTCTTAAATAATGGTAAATAGAATGCACATAAAAGATGAACATTTGTGATTTATTATATAAAATGGAAGTTATCGATCTAAAGTAAGATAAGAACAAATAATTTCAATTTTTAATCTTGTCCTTTATTTGGACTTTTCTAAGCGTGAAGTCTAGAAGTCAAAAGGAAGTACAGTTTCTCACTGATATCGTGATTTTAAGGCATTAATCGGCCTGAGAAAATAACTGCAAGGGTACCTGTCTCGCAGTTGATTCCTATAAAACCAGTTGGACACGAGCAATAGTAGTGTCCGGCTTTGTCCACACACGTGGCCGCGTTCTCACAGGGGTTGCTGGCACATTCATTGATGTCTGGAATGTGATGGCAAATCTTTTACAAATTTTATTTAAAGGGATATGTGTGCACATGCAGAAAAGAAATTAATCAACCCTTTGCAAAAATTATTTGACATGTAGAACCTTGAATGCATAAATCAGTCTGACTTTAAGAATTGTCATTGTACCTGTCTCGCAGTTGGCTCCCATAAAACCAATTGGACAAGAGCAATAGTAGTGTCCGGCTTTGTCCACACACGTGGCAGCATTCTCACAT